GGAAGGAAATGGACAGCAAATATGGGGAGGGTATTTTGAGCTCAAAAACATCCTACAGAGCAGGAAAAAATCTTAGTCCTTCTTTCACCTCCTCCTCCCTTCCCATTCCAGTCATCTCTCAGCCATGGAAGTGAATTTTTAGGTCACTCCAGGAGAGGAAGTCCCATGTACCATGATGCTTGAAAGCAGATTTAGACCAGGAGCTCATCCTTGTATTCCTGTCTGTGGAAAGTAAAGGAAAAGGTAGGGCTGGGGCCTAGAACATAAAGATGACCTGTAGGGATGGGTTAGTTTGTCTGCCAGCTACCAATAGAAAACAGATGGAAAGTCTTTGGCTGGACTAGAAATCTTGATGCATCTTAGATCTTAAAATTAGTTAAATTCTCTGTCCCTAGTTAGTGCCAGTCTGATGGCTCATGTTTGCCCCCATCCCTGTGCTTCCTAGCATACGAGCAGGCAGTGAGCCACACAATCCATCTTTAAAGGCATCTGATACCAAGCTAACCCCTCACCATTTGGGTGCTGATAAGAGTCCAACAGGCAGCGTGTCAAAAGGGTGGAAACGGCACTTCCTTTTAGTGCTAATAGCCTGCCTGTGGGTATGCCCACATGCTACTATTTGATCCAGGGGCTATCCTTTCTGTGCCACAATGTGGCAATGAGACATGGCCAGTGCTATCACGAACACAGAGTTTGTAAATTTCAGCAGTTTGGGGAAACAATGTTCAAATATTAAATTTAAATATACAACATCTCTGCATCTCTACTTGTGCAGGGTGTTGGACTAGATCAGGTTCTGTTGAACTCACCTGGCCACCTGGGATGAATTTAGACTGTAGGGCTCCTTGGAGGCTGGATGTGGACCTACATCTAGCACTGGTGCAAAAGGAAGCTTTAGCTTGCCTCTTTCACAGATGCTAGTTCTCAACTGGGCTCCATACCCCAGATTTCAGCAGCTGGCAACAGCCCCAGATGCCCAGCAGGCTGCATCTTTGACAACCCCTGACTAGATGACCCAAGATCCCGTCTTACTCTTGGATTTTATATCCACGAGCCAGGAACATTCTGTTTGCTCAGTTATCCCCTTTTATCTTTTGTATAGTTTAGATTTAGTCAAGATAAACCTCATTACCAAAAGTTATAGCATGTGTGCGCACACACTTCTCCTTGCTTGCTATTTTCTATATTTAAAATCTAAGTAAATTTATGTCCCAATTCACTCTCTGAAATTTTTTTTGGCTTTGACAATAAGAATAGATTTACCAGCATTGCTTTTTGTTTACAAGCAGTTGATAAATAATTTCTTATCCTGGTTCTCAGTAGACCCATTAATTCAAAGCTGTAATGTCTGGCTTCTGTAGGATTTTTTTTTAAGCAAACAAGTTCTCTTGATTGTAGCTCACAGCTGGACACATTTCAGCTGGGCTAGGTTTTTTACAAGTGAGGATCTGTGCCCAGGTGCAGAACATAAAAAACAACAAATCAAACCAAATCAACATTTTCTTGCCACTAGCACCACCTCAGAGCACCTTCCTAAAATATTCAGCTTCTCTCTCCTGTGATGTCATATTGGTTTTAATTCTACAGCAAAAATATGTAAAAAAAAATTGAACAACTTTTTCAGGAAGAAAAATTCTTTCAACCCTACTTTAAGCATCATAAAAGAAACAAAAACCAGATTCGCACACAATTTCTTTTGTACACATCACATAGTCTTTACTCACGGTACCACAGCTCAGAAGTTCCTAGCCTTTGTTGAGCATCTCTATGAATGTTTGTTTTCAAAGCAGCAGGCAAGGATTTAGTCACTCCAGACCATTAAGTTAATGGGGGAACTGGGCCCACCACTCTCTAAAAGCATGCTCCTCCATGTAATTGAGGCCAAGGTATTTAAAAAGCAGCAGGTGTGAAAAGGATTAAATATCTGGAAGAAAGTCAAGACTAAGATCTACCCACGGAGCAGTTTGAACAGGTTCTAAACCGCAAGCCCCCTTCAAACCAAAAGGATGCAGGATACACGAACAGGAGCTACTGATATTTCTCACCTCTCGCTCACTCTTCCCCAAAACGTAATTGAGCCACAAAGGAGAGAGAATAAGATCATAAGGGATTTCACATAAAGCAAGTCCTTGCTCCAGGAATGGTGTCTCACCATAAGTTGTTCCAATCAAATAGTTCTGAAATAACAATCACTCTTAAATGGTCACAGCCCAGGACCAAATTTTATTTTGTAGATGGCAACCTCCTGGGGTAGGGACAGGCTGTTTTATCCTGTGCAGGACATGGTCAGAAACTGACATAATAATCTGGTGTCTTTTGTGCTCATCCCAAAGCTCATTAACAAAGAGTTAGGAAACTTCAGCATTGTGACCACTGAAACAAACAGAAGTAGTGCAGTGGGAGTAGCCTGAACTGTTTTCCTTAGAGGCTTTTTGTCAAGTCAGCAGATAAATCTTAAATCTCTCTGGCTATCAAGATCTGACTGGCATGATGACAGTCTCCAGGAACCATAAAGGATCTCAACACATGTTCATTTGCAAGATGAATGCATGCTCAAATGGGGGAGGGGTAGGATCTTCAGTCTACTAGCAACTCAAGCATGCATTTATCTGCTTCAATATGATTTGTGAGCTCTTATATCAGTTGGTTCTCAACCTTAGACTCAAGACACCTCTGGACAGACTCGAGATCCCCCTTGGAAAAAATGCCAGCTCTTCATTTTCACTCATTTTTTTGAGTGCAGAAAAATATCATGGAAAGTTTCTGCTGTGAAAAAAGAACTCAGAAATCCATAGTTGTGGTCTATTTGAAGTCTCTGGGTTTGTCTTCTGAATCATGTCTGTAAAACGTAACAGTGCCAACATTGTGTGGCACTTGTTGAAAGGCTCTCAAGGCATCCTAGGGTACTCTAGCACCCTGGTT